TCACCATCAGTACTGGCCGCACTGGCTAAATTTTCGACAGTTAATAACAATCCATGTAAAGTGCGCTTAACCAATTTTCAGAGGAGACCGGTAAGGCAGAAATGCGGCCAACAAGCATCGCTCTATACTACCGGCCCAAGTTTCTATCCATCCATAAGGCCATACCATACCTCGCCGTGCCACTGCGCGGCAGTACGGTAAATTGTACTGCAAGCTCCACATGGACTTGTGCGTGGGTATCAGCTGGAGAATTATACTAACATGATAGTCTTACGCAGGGTTAACTGCAGGAAAGGGAACCAATTAGACTGGCGGCGCACTCTGGGACCTATTGGCACAAGACATAGTGAAAAACGTTACTTTGCCTCACCAACATTTTCCATGAGGATGTGTATGAGCCCGGCAAATAGATAGATTGGCGCGCTCAAGGGAGCATATCCAACAATCCAAAGATCTATGGTTGAACGCCAGGACGTGAGACAAAAAAGCTGTCACTGGACCTGTCGCCTATCTTGGGCACATCGCCAACCGTATGCTCAACCCCGCAGCTTCACATCTTCCCCACCTGTTTCCTCGCCCGCGGCCTCGCGCCCGCGCGGCAGCCGCCTCCGCACACCGACCGCCATCCGACCGCAGCAACACCCCAAACAACCCCCAACCAAATCCCCCCCTCCCAGTCCAAATTCTTGCCCAGCCTGGACTGTGGCCTCCTCCCGTCATTGTCCCATCAGCATTGGAGGCAGCGCACGCCCGGGGCAGCAGAAGCGACCTCGCCCCCTCTCCTCAGCACGCACCGCCTGTGGCCACCCCGCGGGCCGCCAGGGGCCAGCAGCTGCTCGGCAGCCCGGCGGCCATGAGCTCCAGGGGCGCCAGCCGGCGGAGTAGTCTGCCGCCGTCTCCGCGCTCCGAGGACAGGCACGCGCGCGGCCACCGGCCCACGCCCGAGTCGCACGGGTCCCCCCCCTCCGAGCGGCCCAACAAGAAGCAGCGCACGGGACAGTCCCACGACGAGGTCCGGCCCCCCGCAGCCCCCACCGCCCGCCTGGCCTGCTGTCCGCATCGCCGCGTCGCTGGGCTGAGTGTTCTCACTTCTCGCATCGCGGGTGGCAGAATGTGGACGATCAACGGCTGCTGAGGGCGAGCAGGGAGATTTCCCGGCCGGGGCGGCTGCCCATGACCGACCACAGGGCACTCGTGTTCCCGGATAGGCCCTCGCCGCCGTACAGGCCGCCGGATGAGGTGCGCTCCCGGCCATCTCTCGCGGTACCGCCCGCTCGAGGCCTCCCCTGCCGCCCATGGCTGACGGCCGCCGCGTGTGGTCGTGCGTGACTGTGCAGGACGGGTACTACGTCTGCGAGCTGGGCGACAACTTGTCCTCACGATGTAAGTGCGAGAACTGGTGGTTTATGCCTGGGAGGTGCTGCTCCGGCCATTCTGGATGTGGGCTTATGTGTCGTGGCTTTGCCGTTTGGACGCAGACAAGGTGCTTGCGAGGATCGGAGAAGGTAGGCGGTTGGTTGCCCGATCGCCACCGACGGGGGCAACGGACTGCAGCTGCTCGCCTCGGCTCTGGATCCCCGTGGCTTCTGATCAGGGCGAGTTCCATCGCAGGGTCCTTTGGGCGTGTGTTGGAATGCTGGGACCGTGAGACGAAGAAGTATGTGGCGATTAAAGTCATTCGCAACATATCAAAGTACCGTGACGCGGCCATGATCGAGGTAAGGCGAGCGCCGCAAGGTGGCCATTGTCGGCCAGTCCCTGTTCCGGCTTCTTGCTCACTGTGCACCCAATTATGATGGCTGCACATATAGGTGGCATCAGTGGCAAGAGTGTAGCAAACCCCAGTTTTCAAACCATCTACCCACACAACGTATGACCCAAAGACCAGCACGCCCCGCGATCCAAAGCAGAAATGAGATGGTGCATGGTGAATCCTGGCCTGCCTGGCCATCCACTAGAAGCTGTAAGCCCCAGCGGACAGTGTGTGGAAATCGCCTGACGGATAGAGGAACAGCCTTGTTACTTTGCATGTTTGTGTGGTGCACGGATACGTGGCATTCATGGTGGCTTGTGCACTGCAGCTGGAGGTGCTCAACACACTTCAAGCAAACGACCCTGAAGGGAAGAGGTAGGTCAGCAGAAGAGACGCCCTTTGTGTTGTTCAGCAGGCTGTATGCATGCTTGTTGTGAGTTGGCTTACCACCGTTGGCTTTGCTGTTGCAGGCACTGTGTGGGCATCCGTGAATGGTTTGATTACAGAGGACATGTGTGCATGGTGAGTGACCCTCTGCTGCTGTGAAGGAGACTTGGTGCATCCAGATTGCGGCAAGGTGTTCACTGCTGCATATTTGGTTGCATTTCCTGCTGAATTTTGGAGGTGTGAGCACGGTTCAGAAGTCGAATTATGTGCTGGAGATGTTCGCTGTATAGCTGGTGCTCTTTGGCATCGTTCAAAGTCATTGTGCTGTAGCCATGTGCCATTGCGAGGGCACTGTGATCATATCCATGCACTGTTCGTCTGACATTGCAAAAGATTGCTGTTTTTCCCAGTTGTTGTGGTCATGCCACAAAGGCTTGTGCTGCTAGCTTCCAGTCTGCTCATGTCATTATCTGCAAGCTTGCCTTTCAGAGGGAAATTATTAAAAAGGCTTCCTCCATTCTGGCCTTCAGGTATTCGAAAGGCTTGGACCCAGCCTGTACGACTTCCTGCGGCGGAGCGACTACCATCCATTTCCCATTCCTGTGGTGCAGCAATTTGGTCGTCTGCTGCTGGAAGCCGTTGCCTACATGCACGAGATCAAGCTCATACACACAGATCTGAAGCCTGAAAACATACTGCTCGAGCGAGATGGGGTAGAAAAGGTCGGTAGCACCCCAGCAACTCGAGACCGCTGTTTGCAGGATCGCAGAGACACAAGGTGGGTACCGTCTCAGAGCACAACCAATGCCCAGCCCAGATATTTGTACTTGCACTTGCCCACCGTCGGTAAAGACCACCCATAGAATTTCCATGGATTGTAGTGGTCAAAAGAACCCTTGACCCGCCCTTGTGCCTTTGTGGGGGATGACGGAAGCAGAAAATGCAATCCATGCATGTTCAATGCCCGAGCATCATCACACTGCTCACCATCCCAAATTATGTACCATGGTGTATTCTTTCCAACATGTCTTCAGACATGTTGCAGTTGTGATGCGCCATTGCAAAAAAGGGCCACAATACCGTTGTTGTATCACCTGCTGATGGAAATATGCGTATAGCGTCACGGAGACTATCACACTGTGATTCGTAGAGCCTCTCATCCACAAAACCCCACCCACAGGCAATCATCCTATGGCCAGTATTTGAGCAGGAACCCAAATCTTCTACAGTTTTGTTAAGTTGGTGACAGGCCTGCCCAAAACTTGTGGTGGGTAAACTCATTTTGTGACGTAGAAATGATAGGAAGCGCAATCAGATTCCTCCAGATGCAGCCTGTCACTGAAGCTGCCAGTGCCACGTTCAGGACGCCGTCAAAGGTGCCCTCCAGCAGGCGCTTGTTTGTCATCGACTTTGGCAGCGCAACATTTGACGATCAATACCATTCTGCACTGGTCTCAACGCGGCACTACCGTGCCCCGGAGGTTATCCTTGGCTTAGGGTGGTCGTATCCCTGCGACATGTGGAGCCTTGGATGCATCCTTGTGGAACTGGCTACTGGTGATACTCTTTTCCAAACCCACGATAATTTGGAGCACTTGGCCATGATGGAAAAGGTGCGATTTCAGTGTGTGTGGGGTTGTTTGAAGCCAGGTAATTCATTTCATGTTGATTTCCTGTGAGAAGCAAGGCTACTTTGGGCAGGGCATTGAAATGGAGGGCGTGATTCTTGTTGTTTTTCATTGTGATGAGTACCAAACTCCTGGGTGAACAACGGTCTTCAGCTCAGTGGCCTGCATGACATGTGCTGCTGATACACAAGTGCGCAAAAGTGTTCATCGAATTACCAAGAGGGTGCACTTGAGCAGGGGTATGTTGTTCATGTACTGATGAATACGGGCCGGTGGTCTGCGTGCTTTGTGCTGCACTGCAAGCAGTCCGTGCACCCAGATGTGCAGACCCCATCCCCTGATGTCATATTCTCTGACCAACACTGTGGCACCGATGGGAAGAATCTGGCAGTGTATTCTAACTGGTTCATGCAGGTATCTGGATTGGCAAGAACACAAGTGTCAGAATGGTTGAATGACTGTATCTTTAAAGGTAGTGTGAAATACGACACACTGGTCAGGAGCGTGTACTGAACGCCAATCATCAGACAGTGTCAAGTTTCTAGTGGCCCACACATGGCCTCACAAAAGTCGGCAAAAGCACCCCAACCGCCAAATATAGGACAGACAAGTACTTCTATGCTTAAAGATCTGGGTTGACGATTGTGCTGTTTCAAAGTGTATGCTCTCAAGTTGTATCCAGGAAGCACTTTGTTGGATTATCAAATGCGCCAGAAGTGGAGAAAGTGGTTGCACGATTGGTAGTGGCAGGCGGGTAGGATTGGGAGTTTGTTGGCTGAGCTATTCAATCGCCTATTAGATGCTTATACCATTGTCACACAGTTGCTGAATCTGCTGGCATCCCCAGATTCCTTGGCGGTGTTTAACCACAGTTGCCCATGATGCAGCATAGCAAGAGATGAGCAAGGCAGAGCAAACCAAGTGTGCACTGGCGGCCTGAGCATATGTTGTGAAGTAATTTAGTACTACACCATGGTCAGTCTGCAGCCATATCGCAAATGTGAACTTATGCACTATGTTGAAGTAAACACATCGGATCCGAATTGGTGCTTCAGCCGTTTGGCTTCGCCTTTGTTAGCCGAAACATGCAACGTTGACCAGATTGTGGGTAGCATCACTGTTGTGTGCCAAAAGCTGGTGCGCGATACCATTATTGGGTTAGAACGACCTGTTGTCTTGTATCAGGACGATGGAGATAATTGTGTTGGACTTGTACACCTCTGCTCGATTTTCGTTACCTACAGGCCTGAGACAGAGGGTTTCAGTCCATCCAAAATTGAGGCTGTGTTCTTATGGCACTAGAATGTGCTATTGGGACACAACTCTGGTCCACGACTATGTGTCGTTGGGCCAGCTGTTCCTGCATTGCTGGAACCCAAGTCAGCTTTCCTCATATCCTTGACTGTTGTCAATGATCAGGTGCTTGGCCCCATCCCTGAGAAGATGATCAAGAGCTGCAGCAAAGCGATGAAAAAGTACTTTGAGCATGGTCGGCTATTCTGGCCTGAAGGCGCCAGCAGTCGAAAGAGCATCAGGGCTGTCCGCAAGCTATCAAACCTCAAGGACTATGTGTCTGATAATGCGGAACGAACAGGCCGCCACCAGCTGCAGAACCTGATCGACCTCTTGTATAGGATGCTGGAGTATGACGTGTCCCGAAGAATAACTGCCAGGGAAGCACTGTCGCATCCATTTTTCAAATTTGTGAGTAATGGCCGACCATGATGCTGGGGTCGGGTGCATAACTGGGAGGGCCTCGAAGTTGCGGTGCACAAAGGGGCAGGGGATTTGCAGACTCGCGTATTCCATCACACTGAGAATGAGGACATTTCCATGGGCTCTGGATTGCACCATATGATGATCGAGTTTGCATGCATATGCTGGGGTTGGGGAAGGGGACAGGGGCCTGGGCCTTAACAGCCAACGCCAGCTCCAAAGCCCCATCGCGCATGTGGCCGTTGTGGATGTGTGGGCGTTAGCGAGGGCCCGAATTTTCGTTCAAGGGTTTTGCAGGTGCGTCCTTTGTATTTTCAGTGGCAGACGGAATATTGTACAAGCACGAGGGTTGGGCCAAGCCTTACCACAATGCCCTCCAAATCCGTCAATGGGACAAACCACGCAGTCTCCATCTGGAAGATCCTGACTGCGTCGCTGATACGGCACACCTTGAGAAAGCACTCCTCGCGGTGTCGTGTACACCCATTCATGACCTGCTTATCACTGGCATTCGCGAGTTGATGAGCATGTGGTTTGCACAAGCCGGGATCCTGGGGAAGCTGTCGCAGTGTGGCCTTGGTGTGTTCACGAAAATCCGTCACATACCCCATTTCCCAGTTGTTTGCGTTTTGCAGATGTGCTGCACACGTGTAGTGCCGTCGTGTTAGGAGTGGCGCTGGACACGATTCAGACCCGCTCGCCGTCAAATTGGCCTCTCCCTTACCTCCCTCCTGCAGTCGATTCTTTCGATGTTGTCATGTCACAGTCTGTGTTTGGATGCACATAGGTCGGAAGCCTTGTCGCGCGCTCTATCATGGATGGGACTCGCGTTCAGAATGTTCTGTTTGCATTTGTGCGTGGCGTGTTGTTCAGATGTCTATGTGTGTCTGGGCTTCGCAACTCCCCATGTGTCCTGGGACATCGATGCGCGGTGATGTGCAGTTTCGGTTTCCTTTCTGCAGGGGGGTTGATCTGTGGCCCAGAGGACGGCGAAATCCCGCGCTCTCTAAGGATGGTGGTCACGATTTTCTTCGTTTAAGTTCATTTAGCGCATTCCCCACATTTGCATTGAAAACAGCCATCGGTGCAACCACAGCGAACGTCGCTCTGTGGGCGGCCGGCGGTTCACTGGGCCTTTGGGCTGCGGTGACCCAAGGAGCACGGGAGACATTCGCTGCATCACATCATCGGTGTGTGGCTGGAGTCTGCAACGGGGGATGGTTCTTACATGACAGCCGCCACATCCATGCTCCATGGCGGATTCCCACTGTGTGTCAATCCCACACCCGGGCAAGTGTGCTCGCACGGCAATCTGTCAGTCGATTGCCGCCTGCCAGTCCTCACGTCCGGTGTTGTGACTCCCCGCGCTGCCCACACTCGGAAATGTCAAACAAGTTGACAAGCCAGAAGTTGCGCGTTGGGGCGCACGTGGAATATATTAGTCCACCTGCCTTTTCCGTGAAGATCCTTCTTCCGCTGACAAGGCCATCGCCGGCCAGTGGGCCAGTGGTTGTTTAGGGTTATGGGTGTCCGATCCAAGGAGGGATCTTCACGGAAGACAGAGTGACAAACAGGGTGCCAGCGCACCTGAGCGCACACGGGAGGCACAGTTGCAGAAAATCGAGACAATGGAGCGCCAGATGATCGGGATCCTAAAACAAATTCGCGCAAAGCAGGGCAGTTCAGCTTGCAGCAGACGCGGCCGACGCTCGCGATCCCGCCGCCCGGGTCCAACCCTCGCGACCACCGATCAGCGCTCCCGCGGCCCGCGCGCCCGGATCCCCTCCCCCACCCTCGGCCCCACCCCGCGCCCCTCAACAGAACCCAGCCGCGCTCGGTATGGGCTGCTTCCGACGGCCGCCGATCGGCCAGGGCAGGGCCAGGTCGGGCTGGGCCACAGCAGCGCTGGTCTTTGGGTCGGTCAGCGTTGCGCTGAACTCGCTGAGCGGCGGGGGGCAGGGCGGGGACGGGCGGGGGCCGGCCGGGGCCGCGCTCTGGTACCTGGGACTGGCGCTGAACGTGGCCCTGGTGGCTGCCGGGGGGTACTTCTTCGTGTCGCGGGGGGTGGCGTGGTGGGAGCGGCGGAAGGCCGCGGATGACTTCATTGAGAGGACATGGCAGATAGTTAATCAGGTGGGGCTTGGGGAGGATTGGGGGACGTTCTTGCCTCAGCAGATTGGGGGCGGGATGGGGAAGAAAGGCTGGCGTGGGCAGGCATTGGCGAACGTGTCTCCGAGTCCAGTTGCCCCTCTGCAGCCATGGTGTTTGGGTATCGTGCAGAGCGACTGAGGGAGGATGGGGGGCTGCAGGCCGTCCGGATGCGCGCTTGCGCCGGTCGGGGTCGCCCCCATTGCCCCCGCCGTGCTGCCGATCCGGCGGGCTACAGCTCCGTTGCGCGGCTTAGTCATACTCCCTGGAGCCTGGGGCTGCCCGCTCCCTGGGTCAGTCAGCCTTCGTCTGGTCCTCCGCCTGAGACCATCGTGGGCCCTGCGCCCGCGCCGCTGCGAATAGGAGGCAGGGCCAGTCCTAATTGCAGACCATTGCGTCCCCGGTTGTGCGTCATCGCCCATCTGTTGGATTGGGCCGTGGATGGCATGTTGCGGCTGGTCTGGTTGAAGCATTTCGCCGTCGATGCAGGGGCCTGGCACCGCGGGGCTTGCTGGCAAGGACTTGGGAGAGGCGGACGAGGATGGGGTGTACACGCGGCAGACGCGCAGCGGAGGGGCCCTGTACCTCCGCCCCAGCAAGGACGCCGCGGGAATGCAGTCCTGGGAGTGGAGCCTCGACCGGGTGATGTGGATGTCGGCCTCCAAGGTGTGCGGCCGCCCTGACACCTGTCTCTGCCGATGCAAGCGCTCTTGGCTTTTTGACTGGACCCGTATTGCAGCGTGCATGAGCTGTGCACTGGGAGAAGGAGGTGATTTGTATCTGACCCTGGGAACGGATTGCTTGGAAGATGATTGCACTCGTGCTCAGGTTGCCGGAGTTGTGCTGCGCAGGCGGACCACTTTTGGAACGGCAAGTACGGCATCTCACCAGCTGCACACAAGGTTGGCTTATGAGCGGTTGCCGTGATGCAGGTTTCCAGATTGTTTTTGGAACATATATTCTTCTCCAGCTAGAATCGAGAAAATTGAGCACTCATGCCTCGTGACTTCCCATCCTCTCCACTCTTTTAGTGTCTGCTAGTGTGGTTGCCAATCCTGTCGGCATGGCGCGGCTTTACGCTGGTGAACTACACTCCACTCGCCTGTCCACTGTCACTACAATGCTGCAGTCGAAGCGGTCATTGGGCAGTACAACAAGCGATTGCAGGTGATGGCAATATCGATTGACGTGCATTCAATACTGCTGCAGCTGATCGTCCGCCGGCTGCAAGTGGAAAGTGCACTTAGGGCCAGGCAGCCTGTGCAACCCACGTGCACGCATCCGCCACCAATCGAACTTGAACTATCTTGGAAGGAGAAGTCCCGACTCATCAAGGAAGTTCCCAAGGAGTTCTTGTGCCCAATGTCGATGGAAGTCATGACAGAACCGGTGGTTGCGCCATCAGGGGTGACATATGACAGGTACTGGATGGGTCTGCACCGAGCTGCCTGTCATTGTCAACAGTATTTGTTCTGCAATCGGAAATGAGGACCTTGATTCTGGAGACGAGAATTCCTTTTTTGGATGATGTTTGGCATGGAAGAAGTCTTGAAAGGAATGAGACACAGGAGTTGCTCAGACATTGCTTACAAGCTGCTTGCCGATGTATCTGCACTCAGCTGATACGAGCGGTGATTGCTTCGTATAAATCTGATGTATTTTCTGGGCAATTTCGACATTTTAAACTTTTGGTGAGATGGTGTACATGCTACACAAACAGCAGTGTTGTTTCACCTGATCCGGATGCCAGGACAGTGCCATGAGGCGGTCATGTGGCTGTGCAGGGGATAAACTGTCAATGTGGGGGTATCAGGATGGAGCATTTGCTCATTGTGTTGAGATGTTTCCTCTGAAACGGTGCAGTAGACGCATCGACAGCGGGTATCTTAGGCACTGTTCAAGTAGTTGTACCTGCTGTTGTGGAAGAAGTCTGCTCAGCATGGTACTTTTCAGAACGTGAAGAATATGCCCTAGGCTGCATGCATGTGAACGGAATATCACTGCCCAGCTCATATCCTGTGGATGCCTGGAGCTTGAAGATGAAATGCAGCTGCGCAACAGATGTGCACCTTTGCAGCTGTGCACTGTTCACATGCCCACCGAAGCGGCCGCTTGGGCACAATTTACCCAAAGCATTTTGTCTACGTCTCTTCAAAACATTCATGTGCTTTTGCTGTTAGGCCTGCAGTTGAAGAATGGATAAACGAGCACCATTCAGATCCTGCCTCGAAATCGCCCCTCCTCAATGACCACCTGTACCCGAACCTTGCTCTGAGGGACATGATACAACAGTGGCTTGCAGAGCACAAATATGTAAGGACCTGATGTGGTCACGCGCTTGGCTCTACCTGGATGCCAAATCTGTTGAAGTGGAAATGGAGTGGAGGGAATGGAGACCATTGCTAGTGAGCAGCGAGAGGAGGACAATAGAAGAGCGCCATGCATCCGGGGTCGATCGCATTTCGGATTGGTGCGTGACTGGCCAGCTGCGTGCATCCATCAGCTTTGGCCTGGTGTTGCCCAGTCACTGTGCGTGCAAGTGTTGGAGACAATTCATAGAGCGTGTTCGCTGCAGGGCACGCGAGCACCCCAATTAGTTTTTTGGACCGAGACAAATACGGACTGGCATTTAATTTGACATGCACAGCGGCTTACGCTGAAGTGCTGAAATAGTTGTGTTCCGCTGGCGGTCTAGTCGCATGCAATGGCTACATCCATTGGGCGCCCATAGCGGATGCAGTTCAGTCACTGATGCTCTTGTTGCGAATCAGGGGATGAACGGAGCTTGCCCGCTGTACCCACTTCAGGGGCGGGCAGATCGAAATGATCAGATTTAGGATTGCAGAGAGCTTGGCCTCACCTTTGCAATGCTGCACACTGGCGCACTAATGCTATTATTTGGCCGGCGGTCCCTGATGTTTGTACCAGGGCATGAACACCCGGAATTTAGATCGTGTTTCGATACTGAACAGTTCGCGCATCATGCAGGGTCCCTCGTGGGATTGAGGGCTTTAATGCGTCATGGAGTCAACTTGTTTCTTCTGGCTCTGTAATTCTGTCTTTCGCGCAGGCTGCCGTGCAACTGCGCATCATCTGGGCACCCCAACCAGAGCCGACGAACCCAAAGGTTTGGATGCACGGCAGGCGTTCATGGTAGCCTGCCAACGTCAGAATGGGGACTGTGGAGACTCGGCTGCCAATGCATCAGACACCAAACTGGACTCGAATATCACGACGCTCATGGCATGCTGTTAAAGTTGGCCATTTCCAGGCCATAAATGACATGGCAAATGTCTCCATCAACTTCATTTTCCCAGCATCTACCGGCAATATTGCCAGCAGCATCGACTGACCACCATTAGTTACATCCTCAAAAGCATATTACATCTGAAGACAGCGGCAGCATGAGAAGCGCTCAAGAAGCTACAATCCGACCAGAACTGTACAAGATCAAGCCGCTCAGCAATCAGAATTCCGGAACCAGTTCCAATGAACAGTTTCACTACCCTTCATGACCAACTACGCATCCACATGCAAGGTCCCGTCCGACTTTGACGCCCAGCATGGGATAACGACATCCTCTCACACACCCACAAGCCGTCAAGCGACCAGTCCGACATCCAAACACCGTCCAAGACCCCAAAACGGCAAAAGCGCACAGCAGCGCTTCCCTGCATTCTGACCATCCTGCACCGCGAGCCCTGCCTCCCAGTCTCACTGCCCAGCAGCTGGTTGGCGGTTTCCCGGCAGCCATGACGGCGACGCGATTCTGCCAGGTCGAAAGTTGGCGCTTTTTGATCGCCCAGTGGCTCGCCTTCGGCGACCTCTGGCTCTCGAGATGGTACCTCGAGAAGTCTGACTGCCCTCCAGGCTACTGGTGTTTTGGGCTTACGGTAGTCTTGCCGTTCAGCGACGAGGACGCGCTGTGGCTACATCACCAGCGAGATCATGGGGAAGACTCTCTGAGGTATCGGCTGCAAGAGGAGGCGCGCGAGGCGTACTGCCGCACCGTGTCAACGCAATTGACATCAGGACATCTGCCTGGACCTGGGGAAAAGCCGGACTGGAATCCTGACTACAAGCCCGAGGCCGTGTACCGCCCCTGGGCACTCCAAGTGTATCCCCATCCGCATCGGCCGTACACCGGCATGGGTACGCAGGCGTTCCGGCAACGCATCGCGGTGATGATTGAGCGTGAAGGTGGACGGATCCAGGCCTGGCGCGGTGTGGAGATCAATTTTTACTATCGCCAGGTACATATGAGCCTTGACATCAGTGTACCGCACTCCGATGAGCGCTGCTGGCGCATGGAGGGTGGAGGCGTCACCCGCCGTGAGTACGCGGCCATGCATCCGTCCAGCGCGTCTGAAGTATTCGTCCGTGATCGGAAGGAGTTCGGTGTGCAAACGGAACCCAATGCGGCCGTACTGCCCTCCGCCGCCTTCGCGGAAGCCAGCGTGCTCGTGGCTCGACGCCTCAATGCGGGCAAGCCGCCGTACACGGCCGTGGAGTTGCGCGCGGAGGAGCGGGCCTGGCGGAGGGCCATCCGACGTCAGCGACGCGAGGCGAGGCGACAGGGGCAGGTCCACGATGACGTCATGGAAGAAGTGCCCGCTGGTGGACCACCCGCTGTACCGGCAACCCTCGGCACGACCGCGATGACGACACCAACCCTGCCACCCAGTTTTGATGGGACACACAGCGAGGACGCGGTGACGCCATCACTCCCGCCGGGATTCGGCGGTTGATGGGCGCGGATTGCGGGAAGAGGGGAGACAAGCTGGCAGTCGTGACGTGACGGTGTCCGGGCTGGCGGATGACGAGACGGAGGGTAGCCACCGGAAGCCAGCTGGCGAGGATGGAGTTGTCCGAGGGTTTCCTTGACGGAGAATGATCTCTGGGGTGTCCTGGCTGGCGTGTGACCGGACGGGACGGATTGTACCGGAAACTTGCTGTGATTGGGTCGTGTCGTGTCCAGTTGGATGAGTGAACGGGGAGGCATGACGAGAAGGAGTGAACGCATGGTTGCCGGTTGTACCCGAAAGACAGTTCTGTAATAAATAGCCGCGGGGAGTCTGTCCTGACAGCTCTCCGGCAGGCCCCTGTGTGACAAAGAGTGTCCCAGCCGCCTGTACCTCCCCACCGTCGCACCACAGCCCCCCGCCAGGCTCGGCCACCGCTGGCCTTGCCCCCTCACGTTACCCGAGCGTACGTGAGCCGGCCTAAGGAGCCTCGGGGCCCTGTGGTGTACCGCGCACTCACGCCGAGTGCTGGTGAGACATTTGTGGGATCCGGAGTGACTGAGGGCGGCGCATTACGCAAAGCGGGCGCCGTCGCTGGTGCTGGAGTGCCGTAGCCCCCTACGGGAGTGCGGATCGGCCGGTACGCGCAACGAGTGGACGCGGGGAGGACGTTGCGTCGTACGGAACTGGTGGAGGCCTCTGCGGTGAGGTGCGCGATGACTATGAGCTTTCCGGGATCGCCCATGGAAGGGGCTGCCGTCATGGCGGCGTTGGCTGGCGCTGTCGGACGGGGTGTGAGGTTCCTGGGCGCTGGCATCCAGTGGATTGGGGACTTCTTGATGACCCTACTCGGGTGGCTGGCCTGGATGCTGAAGATGGATGAGACGAAGACGAATTCCATTATAGGAGCGGTCAGAACGGTTTACAATGGCCTGGCCCTCCTCATTTTGTTCAACATGACTGCCGCCATTTTCTGCGCAATGGGGCAACTTCTGCATGGTTTCGGAGCCGAGGTAGGCTCACTGGGAAGGGATCTCGTGCTGCATGGAAGGACGCGGAGGCGCAGATCTGCGTGGACCAAGAGGCTCCCATTCTGGTTCATGTTTTTAGTTATCATGGGAATGGCTACGGAGGCGACTGCATGGTTAATGTATGAGGTACCTGCGGCAAAGGAGGCATCGAAAGCTGAAAAGAACCATCTGTACACTGCCCAGAAAGGGGCACTGGTCCATCAGTCTGTCTGGGATCGCATGGCGTCTTTTTGGTGGGAGAGGCTGGTAAGAAACGACGATGACGTGGAAATGGATTTGCCTCCCAGTCCGCCAGAAGGCTATGGACAAGATTTCAAGAGCTGTGGGACAATTCGATGCAGTTTCTATGCACTCCAGGATCAGGCGATTGATTTGCTGATTGATGCCATCACAAATCCAAGGAAGATGTTTGAGAGGATACAGGATGCTGGAGTGTACGTCCTGGAGCATGGCCTACCGTGGTGGAACGAGATCCTGGGTCTATTGATCCTATGGGGTTTGATCAATCTTTTGTCAACGATCTGGATGCGGATTGAAGACATTTTTCATGCGATATACCGATGTGGATGCGCTTTTTTCCAGTCGCCGGTTTTTATTCTGTTTGGAAGATGGAAGGCCACTATCAAAGAGATGTGTGACGAGGGAAAGGAGTCAGAGGATAAGAAGGACGACAAGAAGAAGGGAAACAAGAAACAAACTACTATGGTGAAAACTGGTGGGAAAAGTGTGAGAAAGGAGAAGGAGGGAGCTGGAGAAATCAGTAGTTCTGACCAAAGTGGCGATGAAGAGAAGCCAAGGAAGAGCAAGCAACGAAAGGAGAAGAAGCAGGAGAAGGAACAGGAATCCCAGCAAACGGCTGCAATCAAGGAGCAACCCGCAGCAGCTGTCAAACTGGATGATGAGCGAATCTCAGAAATGATAGCCGAAGGCGTCAAGAAGGCTCTACAGAACCAAGAAGCAACTGCAAGAAGGAGCAGGGCACCTACTCCCTACAAACGGCTGTGGTGCGATTTCTGCAAGAGTCCAACACATGACATTGAGTCATGTGCTACAAAGCAGCGGATTGAGCGATATAACCGGACTAAGGAAAGAACCCAGAACGAGCCATCAACATCAGAGGACAAGGGGAAGGAGGTGGCCAAGGTGTCGTACATCGATCAAGGCAGTACAACGACCACTTTACTCTATACTCCAGCAGAGGTGGATGGACATCATTTTCGGCGTTGCATGATTGATACGGGAAGTGAAGTTAACGTCATGCCTCTTCGAGAAGCTGTCAGGAGAGGGATTGCCCATAATCCAGGGGCTATTACACAAATTATCGGCTTCAATGGCGCTGCGTCACCAGTCGTAGGCGTCGCAACCTGCCAGCTCAGGGTGTCACCCTGTACAGAACAAATCAAGACTGAATTCCTGGTGACAAACGGAGTTTCTGGTGGGCCCATCCTGGGCTTCCCAGCCCTCAACAAATTGGGGCTAATAGTGGACTGTGCACAACGCGAAATCAGTGAAAGGACATCTGGGAAAGTGGTCAGATGCGCAGCCACAACGA